TCTCTAAGGAACTAAATGCCATTTTATTTAGTTTACAGTGTGTTGAATGATCATATGCCAAATCCGATCTTGGTGATATTAAAATTTTCGTCACATGTCATACCAAGTCTGGTTATCACTCCGACCTTTCTGATGTGTCATTTTTTTAATGTTGGTGCGGAACACATCATGTCTAAAAGGGTAGCATACTGCAATTCGAAAGAAGTACAGAGCTTAGCGTTCGACTAAAAATTATATAAGTTGAGCAAGAAAAAATCAAGCAACAGTATGAATAACAAATCCCAATATGGACTACTGATTTCTGTCGTTGAAAGTACAATATCAAGTTTAATAATTGAAACGAGAAGAAATTGTGTTTCAAAACCCGAAACACTTTAAAGGCTCAGCTTTACAATCCTGTAGCAAACAATTCATCGAATTTTTTCTTCGAACTAAACTTATTTGAATTTAATACTGAATTACAAGAAACAGACGAGAACCCATTTAGTCTCCCTTGAAACTGTTTTTTTGATTTGTGCGAAACTTTGATATGAATATAAATGTAAATAGATAAATAAATAATATATATATATATATATATATTGGTGAGAATTAACAATTTTCTGTTGTTACGTATGAAATCCTGACAATATTATTGTTCTGGCACTATTAGAAAGTCAGTAGAAATGTGTGAACTTTTCTACTAAACTCCAATAATTCAATGACAGTCCAGCCAATTTTACTTTACTTTTCAACAACCCAACGTAAGAAATGCAATCGAAATACTAAGCACACAAGAAACAATCATCGAAAGTGGTGGACAAAACAGATTGCTTAGATAAAATTCTTTTTCTTATTTTTCCTGTCCTGATCAATATAAGTAGTAACGCTATTTTTGGATTATCGAGGGACTGCGTCTTTTTTATTAGTTGCAAAAAGCTTTTAGGAAGCTGAATATCTGTAGAAGACTGATCTAGCATTGAACTCCGCTGCAATAATCTAATTCTTCTAAATGGATCAATCATAGAACTTAGCACTCCCTTCTCATATATTTGTTCATTTCACACTTAGCACCTTTTTCATTTCATTTATTGAGAAAAAATCCGTTTAACAAAGAGTTAAAAAAGTTAAATCAACAAAACACATAATATGCACTATCCTAAAAGGTCCACAAATGAGTGTTGATTATTGAATTAAAACTATGGGCAACTTTCATTACAGTAATTTTATGAAAATTTTACTGTATCTTATATTATTGATTTAGGTTTTGCAGCTATAAAGTAGCGAATAAATCTGATTGGATCATTTCATAAGAATGCTTAGTACATCCAAACTGTGTTTTTTCGGCCGTCTAATTAAGAATAAGTTCAATGATATATGATCAAAAAATACTACCAGTATAACTCAAAAATGCAAAACGTTCAATCAAGCTTCCTGCTACTCTGCTTTCTCAATAACTTCCTTCTTCATGTGATTATCAATGTGGTCGCGAATCCATTTCCATGCACTAGCTATAATTCATGCATTTAATAAATAGGGATAGATTTTGGAAAAGATCATCAAATAAGTAATTTACAATTGTTGCAATGGATGAAATTCTCACCATAACGATACAAATATTTGAAATGACGAAAAAATGCAGCATGATCTTCCGAGCTTCCAACATTTAATTGTTTCAGTCGATCATGAATGAAATCAATGATATATGCCAGCCACAGAACGTTTGTCATAGGCCAAAAAGGTCGCCAAGTATTTCTAAAATTTTGTATGGAAAAAACATCCATACGTTTAAAAATAGCTTGGTGATTATCAAACTCATCGAATTCACGCTTTCAGAGCTGAATTCGTATCCGTTGGATTCCTATGGCTTTGCATCTTATGGTAGTATAAAATGACACATCGCATACTACCAACTCCTCCTTTCCTGATATCTAAGATAAACTATAATTCCATGCTTAATATTGCCCTTATCGTCATCCAAAACTAATTTTCTCACTTGATACACAAAGCTTGTATTATTTTGCCTTCACTAGCCACATGCCAATGTAAACTATACCAACACTTAAAATTTATTACCTATTTATTTTGCGCATTGTTTGAAAGGCGATATGTTCGAAATCACCTTCACCCATGAAAAATTCTTCATTCGATGTCCAATCGAAATACATCGAGGATACATCTACAATGTCTTCGGTATAGATATGCTCGTAAAACTCATGTTTCCAAGAATAAAAATTTGTCAGTCATTGCTCAAATCAGAAAGTTCAATTACTTAGAACGAAAAAAAAAATGTATATAATATACCTTTCGTCATTCTGCAAAAAGAAGAATTTATGATTTTGACTCTGGCACCGTGTGCATATATGTATACTTCCGAGCCGTCAAACTTGCCTCTAAAATCATACTGAATTTTGAGTTTTCGTTTTCAAAATGAAATCTCAAGAGAAAATGAAATTGAAAATAATAATGAATGAAGCATTAGCTGATCGGGTTCATATGTTTTCTGAAAATCAACCTAATTATATCATGCCAGTCAGCGCTAGTAATCAAAACATTCCCGCTGTTTAGGTCACGATGTTCAAATGACAGTCGAATTTCTGCAACAGCAATGGCCATGAACAACTGGTAGACGATACTGTATGCTTGAAGCATAGTAGTGATCTACAAAATTGATAAGTACCATCTCGAAATCTTTGGAACTGACGACTTTAAATTTAAATAGTAAGAGTTATACTGTTACGTTGTTTTTCCAGTCCAATCTTTTGCTATATCTTCTACTACCGCTAAACTATAAACCAATTACCGCTGTATATAATAAAATCAAAGCTCAATAATACCTCATATTCTTTCAGGCTAATTCCGCCATTCTCAACGGAGAGGAGTAGGAAATTTTGGTTGGCAGGAAAAAGAGCCGGATTTACTTTGTCGGACTTCATGCTTCGTTTGTACTGTTTCCATGCATTGATCATCGATGATGGATAACGCCCTATAAAAAAGTAATTAATAGTATTTTGGGAAAGAGCATGAAAATATTTGAGATAATGTACTGGTCACCGACTATTACAGTCCACGCTATAATTGTCACCGATCATTTATGAAAAACTCACGTCTTCTAATTATAAGGCTCACCTTTCACAACCATCGCTCCTTTCAGCTGAACAAATCCTTCTGTAGAATATCCGTCCTCGACTTGACTGAGATCCGCAAGTTCTTTCAGAGCGATCAATTTTGCAGCTCCTTCGCGAAACGAGCTTATACAACATCCGTCGAACAGTTTGTTATCCCCAATAGGGATCAACTAAATGTACAGTTAAGGGAACAAGGAATTACTTTTTACAAATTGCCTCATCCGAAGCAATTTCTGAAAAAGAGAAAAAAAAAAAGAAACTTACCTTCAGAATGACCGTCTCCATTTTATACTGAGCAATAAAGACCTCAGAATATACTCCCTCTGCAACTTTCTTCGCTTTCGATACATCACTGCAGTTACATGTTATGATTTTTAACTTGAGAATGGATTCTTGATTTTTTAGGTGAATCAAAACTTATATACAACAGATAGCTGTAGGCCTTAAATGAGCAATTCAACGATTTCTACTACACAGTCAAACTGTTACAGGAAGACGCGTCATGCCATCCGTAACATTAATAACATGCAACTTTATTACTTTCATCATTTAGAAATGTTGTAACTTACACCACTTTCTTGATTTTTCTCCAACGTTGGATTTGCGATTGATTACAGATATGAAGAAGCTCTTTGACATAATTTCGTTTATTAGCATAATCAGCCGTCCAAGGAAATGATTCTCTCAGATAAAAGGGTCGGTTATCCTTAAATAGAAGTAAAAAAAAAAGAAAGAAAAGAAAAAAAAGAAAAGCGGAGAAAACGGTGAACTATCATGCAGAATATTGCTGTAGTAGGAAAACATGAAGTAAAAAGGATTTCGGGGAAAAGAACACAGCACTTCATTTTTTCTCATCCAATCAACGAAATATTAAGTGTTTCTGAAAAAAATAAAGATGAAAAACAAAGAACAGGGAACACTAAAGAGACGAAGGTAATTGCAAAGATATTCGTTTTTAAATCAAATAACTGAAACATACCTTGGATTCACTACTTGGCACCAGATCATCTACAAATCTCCCCGCATTGATATTTTCTTGCAATATCATGAACTGGCAATTAATTAGTTGCAAAAGGAATTTTTCAGAAAGGGAAAACGCTACAACAAAATAAATTGAGTCATACTGTTTCAAGCTATTCAGGTACATTTGGATCCTTTTTCTTTCAATTACCTTCAAAATTACTCGAAAAATGAAAAATGACGGTTGTTCGTACTGGAAATTTCATTTAAATAAGGTGAACCACTATTTTACTTTGACTTTTTATCTAGTCCTAGTCCTCGGGCTATCTTACATGTATTACAAGATAAATAGTAATCTGCCCAGACTGCCATTAATTCCTTATAGCTATAGATAATAATTTTGCTGCTACTAAAAATCATTTCAAGATCAAAATATTGTTAGTAACCACTGACACTCCATCGGCAAGAACGGCTCTATTTCCTCCCATTCTTCCGACTGAAATATAAAGTAATGAATTTAATCTCGTCTTTAACTATATCATTGATAGGATAGTTATAGTATGAGCAACTTTACTAATCTAAATTCAGGATAATTTATCTCGAAAAAAGCGTATTTTCATCACTCTACGATCTATCGAATATAGCGCCACTTATAAAATTTAACGACCACTTCTCTTGAATCTTTATCTACCTCCCTATATAGTGAATCGTTTAGTGTTTAAAGCCCTTTCGATTTAGGTACCTTACCTTACATTAGTTAACTTTATCAAGTGGAAGAAAAAGAAAACAGTAGAAGTGTGAGTGATTAGTCAGTGAGATGGCAAGTTCCTTAAACTCCTCCGTTTATGAAACTTCGAATTAATGGGAACAAATGGCTAAATCTATGCGTCAAAATGCGTCAAAAATCCCAATTTATTATTTAAGATATATTTTATGAAACCAAAAATTTAGTAAACAGAAAAACTTGCAGTTCACTCTTCAGGCCTCAAATATTTCGAAATTATATTTCAGACAAATTGTCAGTTTTTTAATAACTCACTTCTTTATCAATTTTCCAACAATTTCTTTTATTTAGTCTCTGTTTCTCCACTAAGTCTCTCTTAATTCTTATTAATCAATGGAGCTTTCGCTCAAATTCAATCCATGTCTCGATTTATGCTCGTAAATATAACTCTTATCGAGCCAGTTATTTTCCAAGATATTTGCAGAAATTTTATTACTGTTTCATTCATCAGCTCTCCGTTACACAGAATAATAGATTTCTCACCTCAACAGCCGTAAGTTGCTCTGGTTCATCCGTAAGGATCAAAATACCGTTGTATTTGATGGGTTTTTGTGCCATTGTTTTTGCTGAAAATGAAAGGAAAAAAAGCATCAGGATACATTAAGGCAAAATGTCGGTTTTGTGTGAAGCACAAGTTATATACGTGTTGTACAATCACGTAAGTTGTAATGCCGACTGGCAAATGCTAGTAATGACAGGGAAAGTTAAACAGAATTTCAAGGAACGACCGGATGAGAACATAAATGAAACAAAGTTACAAGGTAACTTATGCAAATTAACGGAGTTCTTAGCTAGAAGACGAGGGATGGAGGGAAGCGACAGGATGGAAGAGGGGAAGACAAGACAAAAGTGAGGAAATGGAACGTGCATTTTACAGTTATAGATAATGGTGGTAAATTTTGAAGTAGATCTCGTCCAGAAAATCAACAGAAACATCCGGAAACCTTCCTTATAGTCCTTT